TGTGTGTGTGTGTGTGTGTGTGTGTGTGTGTGTGTGTGTGTGTGTGTATGTGTCGCTTCTTAGACGTGCAAATCCTTAGGCCTCTGTTTGAACTTTAATTTGACCTCAGGACTCAGAAGACAACTTGGATCTTTGTCCCTCTTTCCAGTGTGGGCACATTGAATAAGTCTCCTTATTCTGCTTGACACTATCGACTTAGCTATTTTAATTGGTGGCAAACCTGGCTTGGAGCACTGGCTGTGACACCCAGGCTTGATGACAAAACGGTGACCATGAAGAGCCAAAGACACATTCTCGGGTTGTTGGCTGCTTGCAGTGAACTAACCCCAGATGGAGAGGAAACGTCATTTGTAGCGTCTGCTCGAGTAGGTTTACTCCAGGAGCGTATTCCTATCTTTCTATCTCGGCTGGCATCAGCTGCTTTCCTTTTCTATTCCCTTTCCTTCCTTTTCATTCCTTCCCTTCCCTTCCCTTCTTTACTTCCCTTCCCCTCTTTTCTCCCTTCCCTTCTCTTCCCTTCTTCCCTTCCTTCTCTTCCCTTCCCCTTCTTCACTTCCTTCTCTTCCCTTCCCTTCCTTTCCCTTCCCTTCCCTTCCCTTCTTTACTTCCCTTCCCCTCTTCTCTCCCTTCCCTTCTCTTCCCTTCTTCCCTTCCTTCTCTTCCCTTCCCCTTCTTCACTTCCTTCTCTTTCCTTCTCCTCCTTTCCCTTCCCTTCCCTTCCTTTCCCTTCCCTTCCCTTCCTTTCCCTTCTCTTCCCTTCTTCCCTTCCTTCTCTTCCCTTTCCCTCCTTTCCCTTCTTCCCTTCCCTTCCCTTCCCTTCCCTTCCCTTCCCTTCTCTTCCCTTCTCTTCCCTTCCCTTCCCTTCCCCTCCCCTCCCCTCCCTTCCCTTCCCTTCCCTCCTCCTTCCAGCCTGTAACTCAAAAATCTATACAGAGACCAGGCTGGCCATGAACTCACCTCCACCTGCCTCCGCCTCCAGAGGGCTGGAATTACAGCTGTGCACCACCACCGCCCCGCCCATCGTCTCCTTTTTACCTCGACTTGGTGAAGCAGTTAAACAAATTTGAACTTGACCTTGGATTCTTGAGGAAATCTGACCCTTGGTCTCTTCATGATTGGTGTGCCTCGGGCTTTACCTTCCCATTTGCTTTTGACTCTTTGGAGCACTTTGGGGCCATTGTCATCTAGTGACAGACTTTTGTCATTTGGGATTCTTCTGCTGAACAATACTGAACTATTACTGTTCGTTAAATAAATAAATAATACAATAGTCATGACAGTGGGAGAGAGAGAGAGAGTACTTACCGATGTTGAAAACCTGCTTATAAACCCAGGTGTAGCCGTGCTTACCTTTAATCTCAACAGTTGGGAGGCAGAGACAGGTGAATTTCTGTGAGTTCGAGGCCAGCCTGGTCTACAAAATGAGTTCCAGGACAGCCAAAACTATCACACAGTGAAACTCTGTCTTAAAAAACAAAGTGAATGAATGAATGAATAACCTGGCTGTAACTCAAAGTCAGGGACTACAGAGAGAGGGAGACATTGTTCTGCCATTTCTGCATTCAGAGGCTTCAGGAGGCCTGACTTCTGGGAGTGTGGAATATTTTCCGGGGAAGGTCGGTTATTCTAACAGTAATGCTATTGTAAGACAGGCCTTGTCCATTTGGAAGCTCCTTTGGGCAAATCTGGAGTTCTGTCTAATTATTTGGGGCATCTGCTGTGTGACAGGAAAGGTTTGGGGCACTCTTGGGGTATTGGGGTTCGGTTGAACCATTTGAAATAGAGAGACAGGGAGTGGAGGCAATTTCTGCTATGATTTATGTCACCATGAAAATATTGAGTCTCTACTAGCTTGGTACCTGATGTAGGGAGGTCTTCTTTCTGTGTGTTGCTTTCATTGCCTAGTTAATAAAGAAACTGCTTGACCTGATAGGTCAGAACATAGGTAGGCGGGGTAGACAGAACAGAATGCTGGGAGAAAGAAAGTAGAGTCAGGCAGATGCTATGAAGCTCCTCTCCGAGATGGACGCTGGTTAAACTCATGCCAGTAAGCCACAGTCAAGTGGTGATACAGATTATTAGAAATGGGTTAAAAGAATATGTAAGAGTTAGCCAAGAAGAGGTTAGAACTAATGGGCTAGGCAGTGTTTAAATATTTTTTTAATATTTATTTATTTATTTATTTATTATGTATACAATATTCTGTCTACGTGCATACCTGAAAAGGGCACCAGGCCTCCTTACAGATGGTTGTGAGCCACCATGTGGTTGCTGGGAATTGAACTCAGGACCTTTGGAAGAGCAGGCAATGCTCTTAACTGCTGAGCCATCTCTCCAGCCCCCAGGCAGTGTTTAAATAAATACAGTTTCCGTGTAATTATTTTGGGTAAAGCTAGCTGGGCGGCCGGGAGCTGGGCTGCAGCCCACTGCTCTTTTTACTACACTGCTCAGGATGTGAGTGAAGGCAGAACAACTTTTAGAGATATAACAAAAAGTTTTGGAGAGACCAGAAAACAAGTATTTTGGCCAAGTGCTATAAATAATCAGAGACTAGGGCTAAAAATACATATAAATGGAATTGAAATGGAGGGTTTAGTAGACACAGGTATAGATGTAACAATAATTTCACCAAAATCTTGGTATCCAGATTGGCCTCTTAAGGAGGTAAACGTTCGGCTTTTAGGGATTGGAACTTTATCTCAGATAAAATAAAGTATGAGATGGGTTGAGTGTGTAGGGCCAGAAGGATAGACAGGAAAATTAAAATCATATGTACCTAACATAGGGATGAATTTATGGGGATATGATTTATTGTAGCAATGGAAAACACAGATTGCTCAATCTCAGAAACAAACCATAAAATAAAGAATGCTTCTGAGAGAAATAATAAAATGTATTATCAAGAGCAGTCACAGACTGTTCAGGTTGTACATAAGCAAAGCACAACAGCTGGTTGTTTCAGGGATACCAACAGCCCGACCTTTAAAATGGTTAACTGATAAGCCTGTGTGGGTAGAAACAATGGCCTTTGCCATCAGAAAAATTACATGCACTAGAACAACTGGCACAGGAGCAGCTGCAGGCTCAACATATTGAAGAATCAACCAGGCCTAGGAATTCTCCGGTATTTGTCTTTAAAAAAGAAATCTGGAGGGGCTGGAGAGATGGCTCAATGGTTAAGGGTACTGACTGCTCTTCCAGAGGACCCGGGTTCAATTCCCAGCACCCACATGGTAGCTCACAACTGTCTGAAGAACCAGTTGCAGGGGATCTGACACCTTCACACCAATCCACATAAAATAAAGTTAAACAAACCATAAAAAATATTTTTAAAAAATCTGGAAAATAGAGAATAGTAATGGATTTAGAGCCATAAATAAATAAAGAGTCAATGGGCTCTTTACAGTCTGGAATTCCCTCGTCTTCTTTATTACCTAAAGGGTGGCCTATTACAGTGATTGATTTAAAGGACTGCTTTTACTTTTTTTTAACTATACTTTTACAAGAATAGGATAGAGAAAAATTTGCTTTCACAATTCCTACTTACAATATTTCTCAGACTGTTAAATGGTATCAGTGGGAAGTTTTTCCTAAAGGGGTGTTTTACAGCCACACCCTGTGTCAATATTTTATTCAACAGCCATTAGAAATCATTTATAAAAAGCTACCTCAATCTATAATTTACCATTCTACAGATGATATCTTACTAGCTGATTTAGACACACATACCTTAGAAAATTTTTTGAAGAAGTAAAGCAAAATTTGCCTTGTTGGGGATTACAAATTGCTCCTGAAAAAAATACAAAATGGAGACTCGTTTAATTATTTAGGACATAAGATGGGTTTACCAAAAACAAAACAAAACAAACAAAACAACAACCTCAGCCACAGAAAGTACAAATCAGAAAAGACCAATTATAAACTCTTTTCAAAAATTGCTTGGAGATATTAACTGGCTACAGTCTACAATTGAATTAACAACTCAAGAACTACTTACTTCATTTCAAACCTTACAAGGTGATAAGGGCTTAAATCGTCCAAGAAAATTATAAACT